TCGACTATGTAAACCCACGAATATTCATAATCTGCATATTGGTCAAAGTGCTGATCTCTCCTCCTATTGTAGAATCTAAAATTATAAACAGCCAATGGCAGAGCTAGGAAGGAGGGACTGGCAGTAGAAGTCACACCCGTTTTATATTGATACATATTACATGCTTTTAAATTTCGAATGCTTAAAAACTTAAAATAAAATCATCACTCTGCCCCTATAACCAATGAAACCTTAATAGCCATTCTTAGTGACAACCATCACTAGATCGCACTGGGGAATAGAACTGCAAATAGGAACAAAAATAATTGGGGGTCACTTGCGTTGCGTGACGTCTCGTTTGGCTTGGTATTCAATTGAAAATGTCAATGATGCCCACATCACAATCGTCTTGTTGCTTTTATACACACCATCGACGCCAACATCTATTTTCTAATAATTCTATAAAATTATAATTATTTGTACTTATCGTTTCTTATTAAATATATTATAAGATGCCACACCCACGCTACGCGCTTGAACATCAATATTTTTAAATAGGATTTGCGTTATTGGTGACGCAATCGGCTCGGGGCTGTTTGTTGATCCCAAGTACGTTTGTCATCTCATCTCACATGCTTGAGTACTGCTTCTCTGTCCTCTCACTTTGTTACATCACACCCCCATATCCTCATACATTATATGCAATTACTTTTGTAAATATTGAGGATGAGGATGAGGATGAGGACGAGGATGCGGATTTGATTTGGATTCAATAATATAATCATGTAGAGCGTCCATGACTTGTTTATATTTTATTAATGGTACTTCGATATAAATAAAATTTATACCTTGCTGATATTATTTCAACTCAATTATTTTTAGGTTCAGAAGACAAATTTGTTCTTAAATTATAGTTTTATGAATGTGTGCAACGTCAAATTTGTTTTTTTATAGTATTTTTTTTAACATTTTCAAAATGGTATAATATTGCTTATGCTCTTGAACTCATAGTTCATAGATAAATTTACCTCTTAGTTCTATTTGTATACAACCATACCCACAAAACAAGGATTGCTGATTAATTCAAATTTAGATATTGTTAATTTCATTTAAAGACAACCATTTTAGTGTTTTTGTTTTTTGTTTTTTTTTACATTCCCAAGGTTTGAATCATTCTACTGTATTTTTACCGGCATGGTATCAATAATTGTTCTTTTAAAAGTAAAGTTATAAATATTATGCTTTAAATAAAACTATCGTCTGTTGAAACTTCATGTCAGCTTGGTCATTTTCATAATTAGACTAATGATAAAATAAATATAATTAACCATCAATAGGATGAGAATATTTTATTATTAAAAAATCAATGAGAACGAGGCAATAACATCATGTATGTATCTGGGCTCTTGCGAGTTAAAATTGTGTATCATTCAAATACACATCAGAGTGAAATGTCCATGTGATTGTGGAAATTATTTATTGCGAAACTTGAAATGATTACGTGATCACATAATTTTGGAAACGATGGGAATAACCAATATTCGGTCTTTCTTCTTTTGCAATAACAAATTAAATTAACGAATTAGCAAGCTGCTATAATGTTCTCAGCAAAAATAAGACAAATCTTGATGCAAACCCGGCTAGTCACTTACATCCATGCATTCAAGGAAGTAAGCTTATGTACTAATTAGCTCCTTTAAAATTGGCGAAGAGAATAAATGGACAAAAAGCAATAGGAGTACATCACATTTTATTTTAATTTAAAATCTCAAGATTTAAATTGTGAAACTTCTTACCTCTATTCAAGTTTATCAATAGATGGACATCCTGGGAATAATTATTGTCTTGTATTTTTTTTTAAAAGAATAAAATACTGGCAAAAGGCAGGCACTAGCAGGCATATAAACAGTGAAAGAGAAGGCGGAACGAAGAGCAAAGCGAATTTTCAAGAAGGAAAATGATGAGCCTGTCTCACCCGTCACCAGTACCGTTGGGTCTATCCAAAGATGGTTAAAGACTTGAACCAGCACTACAGTGCCAAGCAGATTCCACTTCTCTTTTTTGTTTTGTGGTTCGTTTTTGGGCCAATGAGCAAGGTCGTCGTCTACCTCATAAATGCCAAGGGATGATGTCATGTCTATTCTCATGTGGAATTGAGGATAATATTTCTCAATGCGGATGTATAATAGAAAATAAATACGAAGATGATACGACAATAGTTGAAATTAAAAACTATGATGCAACAGGGCCCCTAGGGGACGTTGAGGACCCAAAATGTGTCTCGTCCCGACGTTACCTGAAAGGCCAGTTTCTTCCTTTTATTCCGTGCCCTCTCCTTATTTTTTTATTCGCTTGGGATCCGGACCATTTAAATTTGTGCAATGGAATTAGGATGAGGAGACCATTTGAGGTTTAACCCAACTATCCATTGTTATCTAACAGGGGAAAAAATGGGCCTGATGAGTATATTTTCATAGTATTTTGATCTTATTTATAAATTATTTTTAATTAATATATTTTATTAAAATTAAAAAAAAATTTAATTCTCATTAATATTATCTTAAAATTCAATAACTTTTCACTTGCCTATGATAAAAAAAATTAATTAATTTTAGTATTTTTTATCACTTAATAAGAGAGAAAAAAATAAAAATGAACATAAAAATAGTAAATTATTTTATGAATAGAGTCACAATTAATCTTTTTTTATTTATCCTATAAGCAAGGCTAGAGGAGTACATGGTACAATTGAACTTCATGTCACATATTAGTCAAATCCGTCTATGGTTTTCTTGCATGTATATGCATTTTCTTTTTATAAAGTTATTTAATGTAAAACTTCACTTTTCAATATCCATTTGCCAGCAACTATCACTATTGGAAGTCAGACCGTGTTTTCATATATTATACAGAGTTTTAAAAAACATTCTCAATTCTTAATGGTTGGTAGATAATGCGAACTGCTGTAATTTTTTTATTCTATTATTTTAATATTGATTCATGCATCCTTATGAGAATTAATCCAAGTCCCTATTCACACCTCAGAAAAAAAGTCAGCAAACATGACAATTAAAGACTCATAAGATCATTGATTATAATCAGGGAGTCCAAATTATTGAAAATTCAATAATAAATCATGATCATTAATTATCTGCAATTCAAAACATATATGAGCTTACAAATTTATTTCACGAAGTGGGATTATTGTTAATTTAAATTGAAAAAACTAGAATCCACATTTGAGAGTGAGATTAACAATATTTTCAATTTATAATAATAATTTTAATAATCACGACTTATAGCAATTGAGATCTTGATTTTTTCAATTGAGATTGATAATAGTCCCAACTCATGATAGTGACGTCAATTATGTTTTCTTTTAATTTTTTAAGAGATTTACCTATACATTAACAAGTATAAAAATTCACAGGTGATTGACTTTATATTCAGAAATAATTTTGGCGGATTTTTGAGCATGAATCCTAATTTTTTTAATTAAGATTAATAATAGTTTCAATCAATCATATTAATTTCAACGGTACTTTTTTAAATTTTCCAAGTGAGGGAAAATTTGTAAACTCATAAATGTTTTTAATTTACAGTAAAAATTATGCTTTGTTATTGAAATTTCAACAATTTGTAGTCCTTAATTATAATTAATAATTTTTTGGGATCTTATTCGTGTTCTCCCTAAAAAGTTTTGTTTAAAATTTTAAAAGACAAATTAATTTGTAGGTCCTTCTAATTTTTCTGAAAAAGCATTATATAGGTATTAATTACATTATATTATTAATATATAATATGATTAAAATTAATCTTTTACATTTTTAATAAAATATTATATAATTTTAGAATTAATTATATAATTTTTATAACTCAAAATTTAAATAATTAGGTTGTATCTTTTAAATAATATTTTTTAAAAAATTAATAAAAATGTAAATATTCTGTACTTAAATCAATTTTTTTATTTGTCCAGAAATATTAAATCAATTTTTTATAAATTTTAAAATTATTTTTATTTTAAAAATGTCAATTATTTATTAATAATTTTAATCCCAAGAGACTAGCATGTTTAATAGACTAAATTATAAAAGACTTGATAACAATTACAAGGATCTAATTTGAAATCAAGGAAAAATAAAAGGTTGGTATAATAATTTTCTTAATTAAAGCATCATTTTGTTAGACCAGTTGGACCGACAATTGAAGCTGTTAATGGCTTAATTTTAACAAAAAAAATCATTTTTATGGTTGAGTAGGGTAGGATCGGAGTTAAACTAGAAACCATTGATTTTCTGAATATCGAATAGTTATAAATATAATATAAAAAATTAGACCCATGCTAAAAATTAATTTCATTTTTTTGAACCTTTTACATGTATAAAATTTAATTTGAGATCAATTTTTAAGAAGATGCTAACAATTATAATTATAAATGTAAGTACTTTTGAGTTTACTAATATATAATTATTAAAAATTTATTTATATTTGATAATTTATAAATTTATAACTTATCATATTGTGAATTTATGACTATGTTATGTTATTTTATTAATAATTAGACATATTATATATTTAATCCTTATATATGTACTTTATAGATGTATTTAATATTAATTTTTATTTAACCAATTCCACTGCCTGCCATAAAAATTGAGAAGTGCTCACTTTTCCGGTCAGCGCCTCAGCGGCCTTTTTTATTTTTATTTTTTGGGCCTGACCTCAGCGGCTTTTTAAAACTTTGCATCACAGTAACTAAATTCACGGGCACTGTGATCCAAATTCCAAACGCTATTCTTTTGCGCGTTTGCGCGTATCCCACCAGCGCCCCATTACTTCTGGCTGGGTCCCTGTCTTATCTCTTTCACTCGCCGGTGACCCACAAGTCTCCGACCACTGGCCTTATCGGTATGTGACGTCATCCAATCGCTGAAAGGGGTGCGAACTATGCACCCACCATATCCACCTGGTGCGCAATATAATGGGTAGTGGAAATATGACGATGACTGCTCGCTTAGCTTATTGTGAATTCTGTGACTATCAGAATCACACGATGACACGCAGAATATAAATACAATAACAAAATCAAGTCTCCAAGTTCAATCATGCATCTTCATTTTATATACTAAAATCGATTGAAACAGTGAGTCTGATATTATAATATATTTGGTGTAATATGACGAAAAAGAAAATTAAATTAGAAGCTCAAGGGTCCCTTGCTCTCTTTTAAGCTGCGTTGTTCCCCTGTCAATCATGTTGGGGGCTTAGGTCTTGCAAAGGATAGCCCTTGCTTTGGGGTCCAAGGAATTTCGTTGCGGTTTCGTTGTTCATCAAGTGACAAGTTGACAGGATTTGAGCGGGAAAAGCTTCTGAAAGTAGCTTTTAATTAAAGGTGCGGTTTTTATCCCCTTCTCTTCCCATTTCTATTTCTATTGTAGTAGAGAACTAAATTCCAAGGAAAACAAGGAATTACATACGAATCAAAATCTAATGACTCCCCTCATGAAATTGATGTGTTGTCTTGAGGTAATTGCTAATGCAGTTTTTGGTTTTCTATGACCCTTGGTACTTTCGTCCAGTAACTTTTCTTTCGTCTTTTAAACTATCACCGGGGATTGAAGTTGCTTCCAATGCCGAAAATGGTATTTTGGTTGTTGAATGAAAGTGAACTAAGCTTTGAAAACGGTTTTCTAGAACTGTCAAGTGTTATTATTGTTGTTGAGACAAGCTAAGATGAAGGGAGAAACTAAAGCATGAGTATATTTATATTTGCTATCTTTATTCATTTAGCATCAGGGTTTTTCTTCAAACGAAAGCTTCATTTCTTTTAAATGCTAACCGGTCCCAGATAATGCTCCTAGCATTTATCTAAAACCAAAGGTACTTCTGTCTCCCCCCCCCCCCTTTCACTGTATTTCAATCACCACTGAAATTGAAAGAATGATGCCATATAGCGAGACTGCTTGATTCTAAGCTTCAAGAACTTAATGTTTTCCACTCCTCATCCTCCTCTAACGCTGGCACATCTGAGAAGACTAACTTAGACTACTCTATCATTACCTGCTTATCATTTCAAATCTCGATCGTAGCCAGGGCTGAAGATCTGGGATAAATATGTCTTAGAAACTGAAATATTTACTTTATGCAGTTCTGTTATAGAAACTGTATCCATTACATTTACTCCAGTTCTGGAAGGTTTCTTCTTTCCTCATAAATCTGTTTTAATTAAAAAATTAATCTCAATGGTAGCTGATGATCGTAATTAGACACTATCTTTTGTGCTGGACAGCATTTTGGTTAGGGTGGGCTTGTAGGGCATGTGCATGCTGGGTTAAATTGACAGCAAATTTTAGGCACCGTCAGTGTTTTCTCTGTGTTTTACCTATAAGGGATAAACCATACATCATACACTTGAAATTTTCCTGCATTCTTACTAATCAAACCGATCTGTTTTGCATTGTCTTTCCTTTCAGTCCTTGTGATAATTGTTCTTTGTTTATCTTGAGTCATCCCATGATTGTTATTTGTATTTCCATAAATTTCTGTTAGTGCATTGTTACATCATGCTTAGATCAGATGATTTTCCTTCGTGTTTAACAATTTTGTACCATCAAACCATGTCAGTCCATTAATGTAAATGGGAAGTTGATTCTATTAGTTTTGATTTTGCTTTTTCAATGTTTCTATTATTACTCTTTTAAGTTAAACTAACTTTTAATGATTGTTAACTTCAATGCATTTTGCCATTTTCTTTATTCTTCACAGCAGTTTCTTGGAAAACACCTGTGTGTAATGCTGATTGAATTTCTGCACTAATCAGTCCAGCGAGCATGAATTCAACATCCACACAGTTTGTTTCCACCAGGAGGATGGGTGTATATGATCCTATCCACCAGATTAGCATGTGGGAAGAAAACTTCAAAAGCAATTGTAGTTTAAGTGCATCTATGTCTTTAATTGGTGAGGCAGATGTGAAGTTAGATACTCAGGTGCTGCTTTACAGAATTTATGCTTATATATTTTTTTGGCAAATATAATGCTTGTTCTTTCTGCTATGAGAATTAATTTCTGTTGGATAATAGTCAGAGGACTCTTCTCATGGTATTCTCGGAATTCCAAGGAATTATGACCAAGAAGCTAATAAGTCTATTGAAAAGGTAAAAGCATGTTATGCAAAAGGCTTTTTGCCTGTGTTAGTTCATTTGTACTATGTTATTCAATCTGATGTCTTTTTTCCCAAACCATTTCAATTAAGACAGAATCGCCAGTGATGATTTACCACAAGGGAGGGCACACCTTTATTTTATTTATTTTCATTTTTAGCTTTATGCACAAACATAGGGTGAAAATTGAAGGCCTGCTAGACCCAACTCATTTTGGGTTCTTTAAGGAACCTGTGCCTGATGCAGAATACTATGTCCTGTGCGTCCAGATCTTGGATATCTGGCCTGCATTCATACTTTCCATATTTCTGTTTGATGCTTAGATTGCATCTGAGATGGGACTATAACATCATGAAACATGCAGATACAAAGACGCCTTGCACAAAATCGAGAGGCTGCTCGTAAGAGTCGTCTACGGAAAAAGGTTTTGCATTGAAGATATGTGATATATATAAAAGGTTTTATGAAATTTGCATGACTTTAGATATGCTTTCTGATATTTCCTTGTAGGCTTATGTTCAGCAATTAGAATCAAGTCGTTTGAAGCTGATCAAGTTAGAGCAAGAGCTGGACCGAGCAAGACAGCAGGTACAGAGAACTTCACTCGTAGCTTTTTCAGCACCTTGCTTTCTATTGATCAACATCTGTTTTTTTTTTCCTCTTTTAATTTTTGAGGAAACAAAACTGCAGGGATCTTTTATAGGTTGTAGATTGGATTCTGATAATCTGGTATTTGCTGGATCTGTAAATTCAGGTTTGTTATTTTGTTGCTAAATCATTGTTCTTGAATTTTGTCATTTCTTGTCATTAATCCATATCTTGATTGCTGAGATAATACTCGTATTTTTAAGACTTTTTGTTCTATGAGTAAAATCACTTACATGCAAAGCCATAATCTAAATTCTTGTTTTTGTTACTGTGTTCCCAAAATTCTTGCATCATACACTTCATTTTCCCAACTAATTCTTGCATTCTAAAGAGTCAAACACAACTCTGCAGGTATTGCAACCTTTGAGATGGAGTATGGGCACTGGGTAGAAAAACAAAATAGACAAATCTGTGAACTGAGAACTGCTTTAAATGCTCATATCAGTGATGTAGAGCTCAGAATACTTGTAGATGGTATAATGAATCACTATTCTGACCTTTTCCGCATGAAATCAGCAGCCGCAAAAGTGGATGTTTTCTATGTTTTGTTTGGCATGTGGAAAACAACAGCTGAACGGTTTTTCTTGTGGATTGGAGGATTCCGCCCATCTGAGCTTCTGAAGGTAATGCTTCATATCAAGCAAAAGACCTAAGATGAGAGATTTATTCATAGAATCAGTAGGGTCTAAACATAATTGATTCTAATAAAAGTAGGATGTGTTCCCATCTTCTTTTAGGGTTCTGTAGATAAACAAGTAATGATAAATTTATGACATTTCGAATGGCTAATGGCTACATGAAAAGTATATTTGGAGACCTTTAACATCTTAATGCTCCCATGTCTTGGCGTGTGTGTGTGTGTGTGTATATATATATAGAGAGAGAGAGAGAGAGAAGCTTCTTGTTGGGAATTGGGAAAGAGAAAATGGAGGGGAACAGAATTAAAGGTTTCATTGAAACCTCTCCTTTCTTCAGGCGTTTATTATGAGAGGGGCAGAAAAATGGAAGATTTTCGTCTAGCCATCCAAAATCCTTTGAAGTCCTCCACTTCTTTATAGTTTTAAATTCTCTTAATTTGGGAAATTTTGGAGGAGAAAGTTTTATCAAACCATGGGAAGGGTGATTATCATTTGACCTTCCTTCCCCTCCCCTCCCAATTCCCAAACGTACCTTCTATGTTATTCGAATATATGATTCTACAGTTTGCTTTTTCTATTTGGATGGCTTTGTTTTCAAATACCAGATCTTTATGCAAGTTCCCTTACTTCATAGTAATTGATTTTGGAGGTCAATAGGACTTCTATCTGAACCACTGGCATCCAATTAATACTACTAATCTTATTTGAAGCAAGTGATGTAAAACCCTTGCCACCTCTGGATATTGTCTCTTTTCTTAGAATAAGAATCCTTTTACATATCTATATATCTCACCAGATGTTCCGTAGTTGTTCTAGAGTGGAGTCAAATCAGGTGGCATTTAGATTTTGTATTGACTTCATTCCTTTGTCACGAATTACATATCGCTGGCCTGCCTGATTCAGATGTGATAATCTCTGTTGTCAGCGTAACTTTTTGACAGATAATGTATATTGAAGAATTTGTTTTTAACTGCAGGTTCTTGTCCCTTTGATTGAACCCTTGACAGAGCAGCAACGAATGGATGTTTATAACCTTGGACAATCATGCCAGCAAGCAGAAGATGCACTTTCACAAGGTAGGGACAGACTTCAGCAAATTCTTGCTGAAACTGTTGCAGCCGGACAACTGGTTGACGGAACTTACATTCCTCAGATGGCTACTGCAGTGGAGAAGTTGGAAGCTTTGGTGAGCTTTGTGAACCAGGTATCGAACTTCACTCTCCTAATAGCCATCCTTTTCAATGAATGTTATGATCCAAGCACACTTGTAATTTGCATGCCTGTGTTTTGCCAAGAAAACTGTCCTTTTCCAAGTAGTCTCACATCTACTCACCCTTCAGTTTAGGCCTCTCGGCTTAAACTTACGTGGAATTTTTTCTTCAAACAGAGCAGTCATTTTATGACTTTACATTTAGGAAGAACGATCTCGGAACTAGGAAGGCAGCTATAGAAGTTGGGTGATCAAGTTTACTGGTGTTTTTATTCCATTGCACAGCGCACGCAGACAAATACCATAATTACTTCTAAGTGCATTTTGATTCTAGAAAAGCTGTGTCTAGGCTTTTAGCAAAATTAATCTAAGCCTTATATGGAACAGGCTGATCATCTTCGGCAGGAAACCTTGCAACAAATTCTTCGAATCCTTACAATTCGTCAGGCAGCTCGATGCTTGCTTGCTTTAGGGGAATACTTCCAACGCTTGCGAGCTTTGAGCTCTCTCTGGGCTAATCGTCCTTCCGAACCACCTGCTTAGTCTCGCAAACACAGAACAAACTTGTGATGTGAAACACAGACGAGGTTGGCCATTGACTCATACAACTAAAAAAGTGTCTTCTCCAAGACCGTGAAAGAATGTGCCAGGCATGGTGCAGGGCGCCCCCAATTTTTCTAGCTACCCTAGCGTTTTGGGGAAGTTGTAAATATGATCGTTATATAAATAGGAGTATGTGAATAAATTTAAGTTGGAAGCTAGGTGATGCTGTCTAGATGAAACATCTAGATTATGTGATGAGTTTTCATGGAAAATTGGCAATGCAAAAGTAAATGTGTATAAAGATGTGATTTGCGTTCAGAATAAATCTATAAATTCCGATTCCCATGATCCTATCTTACGGTCGTTGACATTAACTATCTTAAAATGCACATGTTTCTCTTTCATGTTTCTTCTTTCCCCGATAGGCGCTCATGTATGAGCATGAAGAGGCCGTCAGGCAAGTGCTAACTGATGTACTGTGCATTTTACCTTACAAAAGACAGACATACAGAGCTCGCTCACTCGGTGAAAAATATTTTTCTGAATAAAATTTGAGTACGTGTGACATCCCCCCCATTCAAAAAGAATGAGAACTGGAATAATTAGTCGATTTTAACTTGTCCTTCATGTGGAATTCATCAATGGCTCCTATTTTGTTCTGATCTGATCATAATTAAACGGAAGGATGAGTAATTCATTTTAAAAAATCGATTAAAGATTAACTATATAATGCAGATATTAAACACAAGAATTTGCTGGTCCACCATTCATTGATATCAAGTCTCCGTCCAAGTTTAGAAAAAATCTCCATCCTTGTTTCTCCCCTGCTGGCAGTTAGAGTATTACTATTAATTAGATGGTTTTTAATGGTTTTGACCTTTAAGTGCTGGTTTATTCTTTTATTTTCTTTTTTTCCTTTTTCGTGAAAAAAATGTGGTTAAAATCAACTAACTGCATCACTGCACCTGGGGCAGTCATATAGTTGACTGGAGACGATCCAGGTCCCAATTCGGAGAAACAGCCACTTAGTCTACACAAGCAAATCTGTCTCTCTCTACATGATTTTCGAGTTGAACGCCATAACCCCGAAATGAAATCCAATTCATGACACCAGTCAACAATCAACATTATATGAGAAAGAAATCCACTTTGTAAGGGGTTGGGCATTGCATTGTTATTCAAAGGGATGAGTTAAACACATGGACTGGGCAACTGTTCTTCTAGCATAGCAACCTGGCCCAGTAATCCACGAGTTCATAGGATCCCTAGTCATCTCAGCTCCTAGCAGATTCTCACAGCTTTGAAAGAGCATAGTCCAAGGCATCCACAACAAAATCTGCATAACATAAAGAAACCGGTGAATGAAACAACATTCTTCACTCAGAAGACTTCAACCAAGAGCCTAGTTAAGATAGCACAGAAGGAACAAAACCTGCGTCATCTTTGGTGAAACACATCGGTGGCTTAATCCTAAAAACATTTCCGTGCAGTCCTCCTTTGCCAACTAAAACACCAAGCTCTTCACAATTTCAGAAGCAACCAGGTTAGCATGTTTAGACAACATTTCGGGAACGCTTTACACACACTCACACAGACGTATATATAACAAATATTTTGAGCAGGCCATTATAATTTGGTACCTCTGAGTTTTTCAAATAAAACTGCAGTTTCGGCCTTTGCAGGTGTCTTCTCTTTTCGATCAGTAACAAGTTCTATCCCCACCATTAAACCTCTTCCCCTCACATCTCCAATGACTGCCGCCAAATATAATAATTATGAGAATATGAAAGAATATGAAACAGTATAATTACAGTAAAATGAGAAATAGTCACGTGTCCAGCACATAAAATGCAGATGCAAACTGACTCCCAGAGAGCAGATCATGAGCTAAGCTCCAGCAACTAATGCCTCTATTCAACCAAGCATAAAGAAAAGTAGAGTCCAAAACAGTAATACAAATATTTCGGGGATGCTAAATTCAAGATTTCATACTTTCATATCTACGCATAAGAGACCTCAAACGCTCAAGCAAGTGAGAACCAACAGCATCACAATGGGATTGACGCTTTTCCTTATCAAGAACCTGAAGCACTGCAAGCCCACCAGCAGAACATACGGGGTTGCCACCAAAAGTATTAAATTGAATCTTTTGGGCCATCACACTTGCAATTTCTGGAGTAGTAACTACGGCTCCTAATGGCAAACCATTGCCGATACCCTGATACATGTAAACAAGAGAAACAATAGTGACTGAGCAAGATGCACGTAAGGTACTTTGTTTGTCAAAATCAATTTATTGAAAAAAAAAAAAGCATAAACAGAACATAAAACAAAATAGCCAGAACAATAAAATGAAAAACATTAAATAATGCTAATTAAAAATATTAATATCATGACGGACAAATGATGTTGCAATTCAAGTGGAGCTAGATTTCCATGATTTAGTAAATAACGAGATGATGGTCTAGACCTTTGCCATGGTAACAATATCAGGAATGACACCTTGAGTCTCAAATCCCCAATAATGGCTCCCTGTTCGTCCAAATCCAGTCTGCACTTCATCAGCAATGCAGACACCACCGGCCTTGTGGATAATGTCATATACTAGTTTCAAGTACCCAGGAACCAGTTCAACTGCTCCTCCAACTCCCTATAAGTTGTGGAGAAAATGTAAATAGAAAAAACCAGACCAAGAACATCCTTGAATATTAATTTGAGCACTAGATGTGGTAAATTATTCGAACCTGTATTGTTTCAGCTATAAACCCAGCAATCTTTCCTGAAGTTCCATAGTCAATGTGATCCTGTACTTCTTTGGCATAACAACTAGCATCCGAGCCAAAGACTCCATGATATGGATCTGGGTTCATGACATGATGAATTTCACCCTTAAAATGTCAAAAACCTTGATAAGAATAACAGGCATACCACTTCTTTAATATAAAGATGAATACTGCGTTCACAATGGTAAATTTCTCAACTAAACTAGCACGCCATCCTAGTAAATTTCTTTCCACTATTGGTCTGTTTTTTCATAGAAACCAAATAAACAAAAAGAAGATAGAAATTCAAGATTGATAATTTTGATAATCAAGTTGTAACTTTGATTCTTGAACTTGACAGGGTAAACTCAGGAAAAAGAATTAAAGTTATATTGCCATGTTTAGTGGTATTTGCATGCAGCTGATAGTTCAGAATGAAAGTTGACAGGGTCATGTACGATTAATCAACCAATAAAGATCATCTGACCTATTATATAGACATACCTCTGGTATTGGATATTTCCATGTGTTCAGAGCAGTCAGCCCAATTGTGCCAGAACTGCCTCCATGATATGCATTCCTCAAAGAAATCATACCAAGATTACCAGTGTATAAACGGGCCATCAACATTGCTAATTCATTTGCTTCTGAACCAGAATTTACAAAATAAACAACCTGAAATTCAAATTTCTTTATTTGATACTTACATTCTACATGTCAATATAATCAAGAAAACTAAAAATATTGAAAATCGTTTCAGCAATCACTGCCTTAGCAGAAAGACTCCTCTTCATCCCTTCATTTCATCCATTAAAATCTAACTAGATGCCATGGAAAAATAAAGCAAAATAATGATATGGAGAAATTGTTGCTATTTGAAAGCATCAGAGACATTTCAAAATGGTTGGACATTTTGAAATCATACTGGTGTTACAATCTGTAATTCAACACAACTAATGATGACAAAGTTGACCTTAAGGTTTCCAGGCATTTTTGATGCCAATGCCTCGGCAAAATCAGCTATCGCATGGTGTAGATATATAGTTGTAGCATGCTGCAGGAGTTTGCTCTGCTTCACAATAGCATTCAAAACTTCAGGATGGCAATGCCCACAAGAAACAGTAACTATTCCAGCAAAAGCGTCGAGATAACGCCTGCCACTCTCATCAAATAGATATTGCATTTTGCCCTCCACTATGTTGAGCTGTTAGTACAATTAAAGGTTGAATTAGATATACAGAGCTTATGGAAAAACAAGGAAAGAAGCATTACTAAATCTGAAAGGTCACACATTATATATACACTTGATATGTAGAGGGACCTGGACCATACATATCTTAATAGCAGTGACAAGATATAATAACAGTTCTGGTCATAACGAACCACACACAGCAAAATTGGAGGAAACTATTTCTGGATCAGTAGATTAGATCCCATCAAAACCAATAAAGAATTCAGGGTGGTAGAAGCAGAATTGATCATTGCAGAAACGGGATTCACTGGAAGTTTTTCAAAGAAATGCATTGAATAACAAAAAGTTACTGAGAAGTTGTACGGCCAAAGCGTATGCAAGCACATCAGACCAGATATTGACATTGCTCCACATATCACCTCGTTTTGATTGTCTCTCTGAAGCCAGGCTAATAAACCCAATGGTAATATATATAAGAAAACAGACAGCAAAACCCCTCGCTTAACGAAAAAGAGAATAAGGTAAATGTTTTGCTGGAATGAGTTAAACTACTTTGCTCTTAGCCCATTCACTGCACGGTTGCGCCCAAATTTTAAAAACTTCCCGAACAAGTCCAGATTCATTTGCGGTTCCAGAAGTTATCAATTACATGTTATCAGACTAGCATTTCACTTGAAAATTCAAAGCATCAACTTTCATCAATACGAGACGTACAGTTACTCGAACAACTACTCGAGCAGATAAATTTGAGAAGAGATATCTAAACAAACGACGTGTGGTTTAAATCAAGAACAAAAGTCGTGTTAGTGAAAAACTGATGTACATGATGAAACGAAGATTAGACTATCGATACGCACGCAGATCAGCAAAAGGAATCAGAAAATGATGAGTGAATCTACCCAAAAAGGAGAGAGAAAATGATGAGTGAAAAAGATCCCAACGAAATGCATACACACACAAATGCAGAGCAGAACAATAAGAATACTTTTTATTGCAAATTATTGGATTTTCAGCACAAGAAGAAAAACAATGGACAGGGTTTGATTTGTTTTGGAGACTTACAGGTTTCTGGTAGTAGTGGAATAAGGATGGACCGAGGAACTTCTTGCGTTTAACGAAAACTTCATCGGCCAATGGTCCTTTGTATGGCTGAGGCTGATAATCAAATGGTGGAAGCAGAGGTAGGCGAGCATCATGGGTAGCAGTGGCGGAAGTAGTGAAAGGAGAAGAAGGAACTCTAGAGAAAGCACTGCAGAGAGAAAGGTCAAACCTGGACTTGTATTTTGCGGAGCCTTTTTTCAGTAGCCCTTGCAGAGCCATGGCCCTACCGATCAGACTCTTGGATCAGAGGTTCTGTAAGAGGACAGAAGTAAATTGCTGGACGACAGTGCTCGCTGCTCACAAACCTGTACGTGGGTGTTTGTACTTTGTGTTTAACTTTTGAGCGTTGCTTAAAAGCAAGTTTTACTGAATCCACTTTGTTCCGTATGAATCTCAGTTAAATATAATTAATTATAATTATTTGAATACTTTTTTTATAGAATTAATTTTAACTGTATAAATTATTAAAAAATATTACTTTTTAAAATTAAATTATTAATAAATTTATATATAATATTATTGAATTTGTTAAATTTTATTTAAGTAGTGAAATTTATTATTTAAAGTACATATCAAATTAATTAAAAATTTTAAATTATATTAATATTTAAATCCCTTGTCTCTTTCACTCTTTTTAATACACTCTCCTCCCTCGCCTCTCCCCTCCTCATGGTCTGCCTCTCACTTCTTCCAATTCCAACGCCATTTCACTCCTTCCCTCTCTATCTCTCTTCTCTGCACCTGTGGCCTGTGCTTGTGGGGGAAGAACTGTGGAAACAAACACATACAAGAATGATCCGCGTGGAAGGAATCAAAGGAGGTGGAGCGAGAGTTGGCACTGGCGAGGACGACATGGGCGATAGGAATGTAATGCAGCAACCATCTTACAAAAACAACCCCACGGTGGGATCTGTGCCTCTTGCCTTCAGGAGAAGCAAGGTAGGCTTGTTTCCTCCTCCTTCCCTCTCCCCATTCGTCCCTCTTCCTCCTCCTCCTCCTCCCCTTCTTGCAGATCCGATATGGCTCCTTCTTCCTCAGCCGCTTTCGCTTCCACTAGCTGTAGTTGGAGACGGCAGACGGTGAGAAGCTCGGCGGTGCGAGGACGATGGCAGAGAGAGGATACCAGGATTCGTTTGTGCTCGCGAGGCAGACCGAGATACAGGCTAATATGGGACAGCTTAAAGAGAAACGTAAATGGACTGACCGACTGAGGGTAACATTTGGTAGGTGCAATTCACTGACAATTATTTATTATTCTTAACGGTAAAGTACATCAGATAGAAGCTAATGAATTCAGCTTAATTGTGAAAGCGATTATTACTTCATTAATCGATTATTCCATTTTATGGTGTTTGGGTAATTTCCTTGTAATGATCGATTGTACCCTAAAAACTCGATTTTGAAGCATAACCAAACAGGCACTCTGTCATCCAGCCGCTCTTATTTGGTTCATTTTGGTAAGTTTTTGGGCTTGGGTTTATCTTGGTAGTTTACATGAGTCCATTACTAAGGAGAAGACTTCAGATAGCATTTAGAAAAATTAATCTCAATTATTGACTGTAGACCTATTTTAGGCAATAAAAAAAATCTATTCATCAAAAGTAGATATACTAAAAGTCAATTTAATTTGTATTAAAAAAGTTAATTTAATAAAAATTAATTATTATAATAAAACTTTTAATTAATAAATCAAAACTTTTGAAATGTCAAAACTTAAAAGTGAAATCCTATTCTCTCTATTTTAAATTGTCAGACAATTTTAAAGTATTTTGCTTTTCCAAGACATAAATAATTTGACAAAACTAATATTTCATTAATAATGTTTTTTGATATTATCTTTTAAGTGAAGAAATAATTAAAATAATTGTGAATTTAAAATTATGTTAAACAAAAAGTATTTTTAAAAATTTAGATTTTTATCTTGAAAAAATAACTTTTGTGATGTGTTGTTGTTGAGGTGTACTGATATACATAATCTTATGATCTTATCTCAAATTATTGAGGAGGTACAATGTAAAATCAATTGTTTGAACCATCATTATATTTCCCAGCCAAAAGAAGAATTATCATTGTATCATTTTTATGAAATTCTAGTTTATTTTGGATAGTTTCTCTCAGAACCTATCCCATTTTCCTCTCGTATCTTCCCCTTGCATTACTTTTTTCCCGATATATTCTTCTTTTCTTAGTTTTACTAATATTTATTGGTATGTATTTTCTTCATCTTATCATTTACTATGGTTGCACAAAGGATTGACCTAACAGAAGTTCAGCCTAACCTAAAATCCAGTCCTTCTTCTGAAAAGGATTGAATTCAACAATCTATGATCTAATCTAGTTCTAGTATAACATGAAACCAAACGAAACTGAACTGGTCCAATAGAACTAGGAGACTAGTCTTAACCTTATCCAATATCTCACTTTATTTTTTTTCTTTTTCATCTATGAAAGGTAGTAATTTATTTTAACATAATAAACTCAACTAACATGATAGAATTACTTGTAGTCATATAAAATTTATCACAATAACAACAATTATAAATCCACAACAATCTTTAATAATAAGAAAAGGTATTCCAGTTACAACACAAATGATTCAAATTAAATAACTTTTAACAATATTAAACAACCTTCACCACATCTAAAGTCAATTATGCAATTCAACATCAAATTTCATCAGCAAAAAGGAGAAAATTGAGATTGGTCAATGTTAAAATTTTGCTCAATATTTATGACTTCACAAGTATAAAACACAAAAAAATTACTAATTATTATTATAAATTAACTTACTATAATAATAATTAACAAATTAATTATAATATTAAATAAGTTTATAAGATCGAACTAAATAGTCCAGATACTCGGTCTCTTATCTAGTTTAATCTGAAGAAAGAGTTTGATCTTTTTGATCTTGAAAGACCAAATTTTATCTGGACTAGACAGGACTGAATTTGTCTCGAGTTAAACCGAACTGAACTAGACTGAAAAACTTTTACACAGTCCTATCATTTACTCTCTCTCCAATCTTAATATTTCTTTTTTTAGGATACTTTCTTATCCCATTTATAAAGTGTTATATATAACAATATTTAATGGTTTTTTATTTTTGTCTCTTCAAAATTTAATAAGTGATCCCGTACATTATAACTGAAAATTTTTGTTCCTTTAAAAATAATTTTTCAAACATCTTTTAAAAAAGTTAACAATATACTATTTTCATAAGATATGTGCGTGTGAATAGTAATGCCTCATTTGATGATAGGGAAGGGCTTTTGATGGAAATGGAAGTAAAAGTAAATGTGAGATAAAAAAATATATTTGATGTACACATAAAAGTAAAATATAAATTTTATTCAATAAATATATTTATATTTTAAAATGACCAACATACTAAGAAAGAAAATAAAAAATTGATCGAAGCAAAGCAAGCATCACCACCGCTCATTCTCAACAGAGCCACTCCGTCTCCCACAACAAGCATCATCATGGACACCAAAGCTTCCACCATTGATAATGTTTGCTTTATGTACTAGAATAGTGGCAGCAAAGCTTTCAACTTCCTTTTCATTTGTTAAACCCTCACCATTCTGGGCCCTTCACCCTGAAATCTTACACACCCATATATATACCCTTAGAGCAATAACTAGATTTACAAATATATGAGATCTTCAACAATAGTATCTATAGGAAAATAGCACAAATGCACTCCTCCTCCATGGCGTCCCTCTTCGACCAAGATTCATGCCTCCACTAATTTTATTTAATATTGTATTTGCGCAGATGCGATGTAAGTGCTTGAGGCTGTAGGGAATGGGATTGGAGAACAGACTGGCAGTATTGAAATAGGAGAGATCGAGCTCGGTGATGGAGGTTTTAAGTGTTGTGGGTGTCGAACTAGCAGCAGAGGTGGGCATCGTCGTTGCTCAGGAGAAGAGGGAGGAGTGGGTCATTCATCAAAAGCTGGAACATGGCAAGAGAGAGGTTGAGGGTAAAGATGATAAAATGACCGAGGAAATGAGGTAGGAACTCAGTTTCATGGGTCTTCCTGATGAACTCAATTCCATCAAATTTAATCATTTAATAGAACTTACTTTCTCAGAGAACTCAGTTCATGCATACCAAACACAATAATGTATGGGTTTTACTTCCATTTCCACTCCCTTCCCTCAATTCCTTGCTATCAAATGGGCCATAGAGGTTCTTATTATTTAAGTAAGTCATTAAAAATTCATATCCCAACCTTTATGTTTGTAGAAATTTAATTAAAAGATATCCATCATTTACTCTTAGCATCTAGAGATAGATAATCTCTACAGTTGGTGGAACTATCCCATCTACTATTAAAAATTTATAAATACAAAAGAGTAAAAATACTTAAAAAAATCATTGCCTAAAAACATCCAGTAGTTTAAAATAAAGAAATGTGGATGAGTACCATGAAATTATTTTTGTCCCTTTAAAGTCATGCTTTGAAAATGAAATTTAATGATTTAGTCATAGATATGTTAAAAAAATAATTTCTCAAGCACTCATGTAATTGTTTTTACCTTAGCTTTTTGATGTTTCTACGAGATAACTTTTTAAATAATTTTGTTCTTTTACTGGAATTATAACGAGACATGATGACAATACATGGTGGACCCTTCTGATCAACTCGGGCCCATGTTCTGACGAATCATGAATGATTTACATCGTGGATCTCATCTCGTAGCGGGATGGATTGGATTTAGCTTGACCTCTTATTTCCTTCATGCATTCCACCAATATTCTTCCATTACTATGCCTCTCTTCATTGAACTGTCATGCATAATTGTTTTTCTCTCTTTCATTCTGTATCTTTATGTCATTCTCTTTTCTCATTCCATCCACCAACATAGATGGAATGTTTGCTTGCGTTCTTCCTTAGCTGTTCCTTCTGATTTTGGCCCTTGCGTGTTCTGCTTAGATTCCATGTTGATCAGCGATGAAGAAACCTAGTTCTTGATAGGAAATATCAGAATTTTTCTGTCTGATAATTGTATCAGTGTAGTTAGATTATAATTATATTTCTACCATTTTGCGACAATGAATCCCACAAATGAACAAGTCACAAGCCATTTTAATTAGATCATACTCACAAGTGATACAGCTTTCACTACTGTAGTCCACGAAGCAAAGTGACTAAGAAAGTGAATCAAACACATGCTAATGAACCTCTACGGCATAAAGAACCACATTCCAAGTGAATATTGTCCTCATAATCACATGGTTAACATCTACAGATCAGACGATCCGTGGGTAATTGTTGAGTCAGCATAAAGAAAGATGCAGGGGTCTATCCGCATCTATGAAGTGGGGATTGGGAAATTAATATTCTCAGAAGGAGTGAACATACAGTCACATGTCCGCACAAAACTTGCACTGAATCTGAATCGCTTTTTCGAAATACAAGGGTACCTTTACCCCATCTTTCATGCAAGGGGCAACGTGGCATTTTCTCGATTCCTAGAAGGAATGAGGACTCTTATTGCTAGCTCACAATTGCACCAACAGAGAATACAAAAGTTGAACAGGGATCGATCTCAATGAAATTTTCTAAAAGCCTGCAGGAAAACCACCCTTTCTTGGGTCGCTCACTGCCACTAACTTCCCAATATCATCATCTTTTTTGTACCTTTCAGTGTCTTGAACAATAAACTGGCAAATAGTCCCTCCTGGAAGGTCTTGTAGGACATGGCCCCTCTTCTTGAGGGCTGCCCTTATGTCACCAGAAAGTTCTATGTGGTCACCGCTCACTGTTGTCCAGTTCTCATAATTAACCACGTTAGGTATCAACTGCCCAGATGACACAAAATTAGTTTCTCCAGTAATAACTTGGTTGCCAGAAACAGTGATCACAAAGAACTGTAAAATTCGAGACAAATAAGCAATCTGCGAAGGTGAAGGAGCTTTGTTGTACAGTATCATTCGACTACTATTCATTATATGTAGCAACTCTAATCAATCTGCGCTAGAATGGGGGAAAAAAGAGCTTTGACAGTACCTGATGATATACCCTTGGAGAAATTACAGAATGAAAAGGATCCAGTCCTCTTACAAAATGATTCAAAAGAACTTCTGCGGTTCCAGCAATGATCATACCTCCTCCACTGGCACCTAGTACAGCTTTCAGCTTCCCATCCTGTATGGGCATAGACAGGTATGATTGGAAGGAATAATACAAATACCGTTGCGTGCTACCTTACTTTACATCAATTCTCTCCTGGTGAAGCCAACTAGTTGGTTGTCTTCGACATGAAAAATCAGTTTCTTTACAAAATGGAACATGACAGCTCAAATGAAGGATGAAAAATTTTAGCAAAAAGGATACCTTGAGGACAATGGTTGGAGACATGGACGATAAGGGTCGTTTTCCTGGCACAATGAAATTGGCAGGAGCTGGTGGTGGAACATTGTTCGAAACATTTGCAGGCATGGAGAAATCATCCATCTCATTGTTCAACACTATTCCTGTACTTGGTGAAAGCATTCCTGCTCCAAAATAAGCATTTATGGTGACAGTCATAGAAACAGCATTTCGCTCCTGATCTATGATGCTTACATGACTGGTACCATGATCTTTAACCTGATTCCACCTTTAGGAGGAAATGAAAAATAACACAGCTTTGTCAACAAAAGAGGAAAAACACGAAGAAGAAGAAGCACGGCATAGTTGAGATTCCCTGCTGGTGGTATTTCTATTGGCCCTCCAAAACGCAGAAATAAAAATATTGACTGTTCTGCATGGTCATGATTGATTGATAAATGGTTTTGCAGCATGTTTCCTAAGCATCTACCCCAAAAGTTGAGAATAATTTACTCATTTAGATTAGTATGTGCAACAAAAGACACAGTATGTCGAGAATTTTCATGATTAACCATAGCATCTAAAGCATTGTGGAGAAACATAGACAGTTTAGCATCATATCTTGTAGCAAGTTATCTCTCGTCAATCTCGCAGCTTACCTTCCACCATAATGACCGGGACCAAAAGTTCTATTGTCGTCGATGTCTTTCTTCAACTCCTTAGCAAACCTGGGAGAAAGCATGTCTAAAAGAACTGCAGTTATATTTACAAAATCCGGATCACCAAGATTCATTCTCACGGCAAATACATGTTTCATAGCTTCAATTTCTCGATGGATCCCTAGGGGGCCTAAAAAACCAGAAGGGGCTTCATATTGAGCTAGAATGTTCAGCATCTGTTGCAGTACATGAGATATGAGTAAATCATTAGCAAAGTTATGAAAATCATGATGGTCGCTAGCAATGCAAAGAAGATATACATACAAGTATCGTTGGAGGGCCACCTGAGGGAGGAGGCATGCCAAGGACCTTTAATCCAAGAACGTCCGCAGATAAAGGTTCTTTCTGTTTAACACTGTATGTTTTCAAGTCTCTCATGGTCAAAATGCCCCCAGCCTTCTTTACATCTCTGACTAAATTAAGGCCGATCCTTCCGTTATAGAAGGCTCGCGGACCAGATTCGGATATTGTTCTTAATGTTTCTGCTAGTTTTTCATTATGGCATATGTCACCTATCCGCAAGAGTTTTCCTTTAGATGTAAAAATAGCACGAAGTCCTGGGTCATCCAATATGTATGATTCCGTTCGAACCATTTGCATGCGAAGGTACGGTGATATCTTAAACCCTCGACGAGCAAGAGCCTCTGCTGGCTGCACAAGCCTCTTCCATGGCAGCTTCCCATGTCGTTTCCACACTTTGTAAAGGCCAGCAAGTTGTCCGGGAACTGCCACAGAGAGCGCACCTCTCCCCTTCAGAGTAGTATTGCCAGCATACATATTCTAAAAAAATGAAAGATTACGGAAGAATCATTTTGAAGGATTTGCTATACCAATTATGAGATTTCAAGATCAGTCTAAGATTTACACAGTGCTCTATGCGGTTCACTTAACGAAACCTGTCCAGTGACGCTGCAGTTGGATTGCATTTTAAGAACTCTTGGTTCAATTGATTATCCTACGATAAGGATCAATTCAATTTTATGATCTTTTGATTGGCACTTTTCCCGGTGAAAAGTTGAAACCTTGGAAGCTTGTGAACACATGCGATGATGTAATTTGCAGGGTCTTTCTGGTTTTCAAAAGATGGCCCGATTGTAAAATTGGAAGTGTGATTTTGTTTTAATTTTGTCCTTCTTAGATACTACATAGTAAAATGACATGTAGGAAAAGAAAAAAAAGATAGTAAAATGACATTATATAGGTATCAGGGAAGCAAATATTAAGAGCAGAAAGATTTTTTAAAAAAATTAAAAAAAGAAAACACTGATATTGGGTCATTTTACAAGAAAGGATGGGGTTTGAAACTAAACTTGAAGGATGAGAGAGCTTTTTATACCACAGAAAAACAAAAAATAAAAATAAAAATTGAGAGAGCTTACCTGAGAAGCAAGAGAAGGAGCAGTTTCTCGCATGTCTAAGGCTTCTGCTTGGCCATTAACTAACCTGAGCAGCAGGAAGGCTCCACCACCAAGGCCACTCGACGCTGGACTCACAACCCCCAAACAAAGAGCAGCGGCGACGGCAGCATCGACGGCATGCCCTCCTTCACGCAGAACGTCCGATCCGATTCTCGAACATCGACGATCGTCCGTCGCAACAGCGCCATGATACACGTCGATTACCTCCTGTCTCAGCTTTTTCTGCCCAGTCGTAGCATTCAGACTCGAAGCAGAAGCCAAATTTGAAATAAGCAGGAATCCCCTGGCAATGGCAGCCCATAGCAATACAACTGCATATCCAACTGATACATGATAACGAAAATTAATGCTGATAATATCGGGGCAAACAAGTCTTCCCCAGTCTTCTCTTAAATTCTCTATTCCTTTTGGAACTAAACATCCTACGAATATAAAATAGTAGAAGGTTACAAGATTTCTCGATTTAGAGCAAATATACTTCGCGTAGGAGGAGACATACCTGGACCTTCCATTCCGTATAAAACTGAACCCGAGCCACGATGCTACATTGTTTTCTCCGTAATGTTCAGCTTATTCTCTGCCTCGGTAGTCGATAGCTCTTCTTTCTCAGTGAGTAGGTGGATAGAACTTATTCGACGGCAATCTATCTATTATCCTATTATACACAGAATTTTTAATCTATTTGTCTCTTCTTTTGACAAAAAAGGCACGAGAGACGGAAAATGGAGAAGAAAAAAGTATACTGCAAACTTGTCGACTTCAGTACTTTACCCAGACTCACACTATGGACTATGGAAACCTACGCATTAGTGATTAGACAATTAGTCAGGTGCGGCGAGCTAATTAGCTTTGCTGCATAAACATAAAAAGCTACCGTCGTTTTACCCCCCAAGATTCTAAATGGCTAATGGTAAGTGATAGCCACCGTCGTGTTCGGGTGCGCTTGGATATCCAAGATTGGATATTTGAAATTTACTCTTCAATTTTTGAAATTTTAAATCTTGTTGGCATAATTTTTAAGTAAATAAAATAACTTTTTAAACGTGAGTTGGCATCAGATTAAATGTGAATTTGCCAACTCTATTTTTAGGTGAATTTAAAATTATAAATGAAAGTTTGGCTATACCTACTTTTATAAATAATTATGATGCCCTTATTATGTTTTTATTTTTTATAACATTAAATTATATATTTTTTATTTTTATTATTTAACATATTAACTTTTATATTATTTTAAATTCTTTTATATTTTTTAAACATTTTTAGCATATTATATTTATATATCACAAATTATCAATTATCGTGAATTAATGTTTTTTTATTATTACATATTTAAAAATACATTTCAAAAATACGAATCATTATTAATTTAAATAATTTTTAATTTATTAAATTAATTTTTAAAAAAAGTATCAAAACATAAATTTTGTTAAAGTAGCTAATTTTTATTAAATTAGTTTTTATCACATAAACTTTTATAAATAAATTTTTAATAAATTAAAAACTAAACACACGCTTCATAAACCACGAAAGCTACATGAAAGAGACAACTCATATCAAGAAACATGGAAGAGACAACTTTCCCCTTCGAGCCTGAATGAATGGGAAAGGTTTTTTTCTCAAGCGGAAAACGCAAGGCAAGTTAAGATTAACCTGAAAGCATGCAAATTACAAAACAAAATAAAAAGAAAAAGAGGAAGGAACCCATAAAATTATTAATTAAATAAGAGATCTTAAATTATTGAAATATCAATAATAAATTATAAGTTTTATTTAAAATTAAAAGCATATGAGTTTAAAATTAAAAAAATATTACTAAAATTACTATTATGAATTGGAACTTAGTTTTAATAGTTCCAACCCGTAATATTTGAAATATTGAGTTTTTTAATTGAGACTCACAATAACCCAAACCTATAATATAAATTTTAATATTATCTTTTATTGATTTTTTAAGTGATTTGCTTATATATTAACAAACATAAAAATTCACAAGTGATTGATTTTATGTTCAAAAGGTAATTTTGATAAATTTTCAAGTAATTGTCATGCATTCATTAGTATATTTGAAAAGTTTTACAAATAAATTTTAGCTTCATATTAAAAAATAACCCATTATCAAGTGTAGTTTTTGATTTTTTCAACTAAAATGAGAAAATATAATTTTAAATCATTGCACTTTGTTTGAATTTTGTTATAGATCTCTACATTTTTTTTTTATGTTCTAGGTCCCTATATATATTTTTCCAGTCAAGATTAATGACACTCCATAATAAATTCAGTAATGCTTTTTATTAATTTTAAACTCATATACTAATTTTAAGTAAGGATTATAGTTTACTATTAAAATTTTAATAATTTATAATTTCTAATTATAATTAATGGGCATATGCAACCGTGACTTATCATTTTCCCGAAGAAAAACGCCAACTTTTCCCAAAAGCCAAAGAAAGAAAGAAAGATGAGTATCTTGATTGGCTCGAGGTAAATGATTGACTTGGGTAGGTTAAAAAGAAGAAGAAGAAGAAGCTTGAGGTAAGCAAAATTTAAGATCGAGATCATGACTCTCTCTGCAATCTGATCTGTGCGTTTTCAAAGTTTTTCAATGGATATTAAAAAAATTATAAACAAAATAGGTTAATTTTTAAATCCACGCCATTTAACATTTATAAGGAAAATAGGGAAAGGACATTTTTCATATTTCAACGTTACATGATCATACATTTTTCAGAATATCTTACATTCTTGTTTTATTTTGACATTTTTGTTTCAATCAAAGCTTCAGAGAGGTTTAAAATGTATATATTTAAATTGAAAAGGATAAAATAAAATGATTAAATTTAACGATGATTTTTTTAAAATAAAATGATAATTATTTTTATATTATTTTACTTTCAAGTTCTTCAATTAAAAACTAGAAGAATACTTATGATTTTCTAATAATACTACATCCAATAATTGTCATACTATATTATCAATTTTACACTTAATACGCTTTAAATGTAAAAAAAGTTATAACGAATATAAAAAACTTCATATAATGTTCCAAAAAGATTTTATATAGATTCAAATGAAATTAAACAAAAAGCAATTTTGTAGTCTAAAATTTCTCTTCAAAATAAGGTAAAATCTATGAAAAATTGAAGTGACCAGAAACCTAGATCACCTATGCTTAAAAAAACAATTGGAATCGAGCCCAGTTTCGCCTTTCGGGCTTATAAAAGAAGGTCTCATGCTTGTACGGGCCATTGAAAGATTTCCCTCACGAACCGAACCATGTAATGTAACTTTCTTCTTCGATATGAAAGGGCTGCCTGCAATTGTCAACCCCCAACTATTTTGTAACCTGCACGTCCACGCCAACATTCGAAACCTTTATGATGGAGGGAATTGGCACTTGGCACACTAACCTTCCATCCTGACCTTGACAAACTGTCATTTTTTTTATTTCATGATAACAATTCTGCAGCCCTAATTTTACATTTCATTTCACGTCATGTTCTTGCTTTATATTGTCAGCAAATATTAGAGCAACGCTTATAATTACTCAACGATCTAGCCTTCCGGATGAGGATAGGCTCTTCTTCTTTCATGTGAATGTGGCAAAGTGAAGAGCTAAGAGAACGGTTAAAAGCATGATATTGAAGACCGGGCCGGACCGGCCTAGTCAACCCGAAAATCGGTGAACCGGTCCTCTGTCCGGTCTGGGTTTGCTCTTAACTTGGTGAGGGAGTAAACCGGTGTAACCCGGTCAACCCTGGTTCAACCCGGTGGGTTTGACTGGGTTAACCGGGTTAATATTTTTTCAGATTTTTACCCCAAAATGACGTCGTTTTTTATTTTTTTTTATTTTTAATTTTTCAGAGCTCTGAGTTCAGAAAAAAGATAATAAAAAAAGTGAAATTGAAGTCAAAAAATAAAAAATTAGAGATAAAGCATGCTAAGTCCAAAAATATAGTATTTTATTATTGTTAGACTTTTGAGTGGTTAGATTTGGTTGAATATTTTTATAATTAATGTCTTTTTATTTAAATTGTATTATTTTAATCATGACCGGTTTGCCCCCGGTTCAACCCCGATTGAACCACTAACCCGTGACCCAATACCATGACCGGTTTAATGACCGATCTAGTTTTACGTACCTTGGTTAAAAGAACTAAACCAGTGCCTATCCAGTGTGGATCGCACTGAAGATCCCAAGGAACCTTAAGTTTTGGATACAAGAAGCTCAATTTATTGATATAGAACTCGAAGGTATATTCTTCGCTTTACTTGATGGTGGAATGTGAATAAACAATTTTTAAATTTATTTTAGTTATTTGTAATTATTTTATTAGGATTATTTAAATGAGAATATTTAGAATATCCACTAGATTTTTAGTATTTAATCATACTTTCTTATTAATACTTTTTTCATGATTACTTTAGATTTTATTTACTTCAATAAAATAAGATATATAGGTGAAGTTAGATTATCTTTGTTAGATTGAAATTTAATTTTTATTATTTTAATGTTTATAAGGCTCTATAAATAGCAACAAGTTCTTCAACTGTTGATAAATATTAAATATTGAATAGCGTTCTCGAGACTTTCAATCTAATCTTTTTCCTCCCCTTCATCTCCTCCTTTCTACTTTCTCTATAATCTCTCCTTTCTCTCCTCTCTCTATCCCATATCAGTTGATATCACAACCTTGTGTTCATTTGATACGAATTAACATTTACTCCCCCGTACAATACACAGGAGCATACCCTCCAAGCTTCATAGAACAAATATATACTTCATCATCCCATGCAACAAAAGAAGTGGAAAAAAGTTCAATGGCAAATTAAACAATTTAACCCTACAATATTAATTTACATAACATGGTAATGGGTCCAATGCATAATACATGTACGTGGATAATAGTAAAATAGACCGCTTCTTAATAGAAGATATTTTTTGTGTTTAGGAAAAAAATGGCACTCGAGTAAAAGTTCTGAAAAATGATATTTAGCAATTTTTTTAACCAATAAAAGTGTATTCTAACAATTATGCATGAAATTTTTTTTACAGATAAAGAATCTCTAAAAAGGGGAAAAATCATCTAAGGACCCTTTGTAAAGTTGCTCTTATCAATCCAACTACATAATAGTTAAATATGAGTAATCATTAGTATTAACCCAAGAAAAATTACCTAACAATGATTAACCATTCAAAAGTAATTCAAAACTACAAATATTTCTTTCAAAAATTGAGATTTCAAGTTTTTAGCTTCAATAAAACATGTTAAAAGGGACTTTATTGAGTCAAAGTTAAGAATAAATTATTACGGAGGCATGAGATACTACTTGATAGTTAAAAAGACTTAAACTAGTTGGAAAAAAATATCAAGGAAGTGAACAGAGAAACATGCCACAGTATTATGCACATGCACCGCAGTATGTTCTTCTTTGTGCGACATGCCATGGCATGCTACATAAAATTTTGATAGCAAAGAGCTGTCATTTGACAACACACAGGACATCTTTCATCGTATCCCATTTTTTCGTCTGTCGTTCAATCTCGGTGATGTAGGTGTTTATGAAACGCTCTTTTCATAACCTAACTAATATTATGTGCTTTACTTCCAACTAATTTTACATAAGGAAGTCAGACAATTAAACACATTTTCTCAATTTTTTCACATCATTAGGGTGTCTTAAACCTGCCAAAAACTATCACTAATGCCTAAACCATTTTCACTAGACCTAGGACTACCTATAGAACACACTACATGCACATAATAATAAAAAAATCTCATTTTCACTCCTCAACCACTTAATACCAAAAACAGAAGGGGGAGGTTTAATATTCAATTTGATCAAATGGTTCATCTAATTATAATTATTTTAATATTTTTATACTTGTAATAGTATTTTGACACTTTTTGTAATAATTAAATTTATTGTTGGATTGGAAGGCACAGCAAAAAATTAAAATTTAAAATCTCAATCACAATCATAGACTAATCAAATCAGTTTAAGTTAAGCTGGATAGAAGAGTTACTTTTTGTTTTCAAACTTCTCATGTGTTTTCCTTAAGCACTTGGATCTTAAAAGTTGACAACATAAATCTTTTCTCTCTATTGGTATTTACACGAATAGCTTTTCAACACAAACAGCGTGCTAGTATTCTCTGTATCTAATGCCCATTTGTTTGCCAATCAGATGCTCCTTTCAATTTTTTCATAGGAGAGTGACATTTGAGGCCCTTTCAAGAGAATTTATTGCAATAAGAGCATATCAATTTTGCATTGAATATTGTCCTATAAAAGCACACATATATTGTTAAAAGCTAAATATTAATTTATTAAATTTATAAGAAAATATTAAAAAATACTAATTAAGATTCAATTTTTAATATAAATATAAATATATATTTTTCACAATATAATATCCGTATAAAATTAATGATTCCTTTTCGAGAGACCTTAGGCCCTGTTTAGTATGCAGACTTGCATTAAAGGAATTGGGATTGAGATTAGGACTGGGGTTTTAAAATTATGTTTGGTATGGAGTAATAATTGTGGGAAATACTTTTCTTCATTTTATTTTATAATTAAATATAAATTATAAAAATACTATAATATCCCTTATAATTAATAAAAAAATTTCTCAAAACCCATCTCTGTTTGCTCACAACCCAAACTCCCCTTGCCGCTGATCACCATGCTTAATGACATGAAACTGGGAGCAAATGCAGCAATCGTTCTCATCCATGCTAGATCTTGAAGATTCAAAGGCGAACATAGCAAACATAGCAACCCTTTTCAATGCATATTCAAAGGTAACAAGGTGAGTAGGCTAAAATGGCAAGAAGGTGAGAATGGTGTCAATGGTGGAAGATTGAAGGAAGATGAAGGGAGACGAAGGGAGAATGATGTTGATAGTGGAAGATAGAAGGGAGACAAAGGGAAACGATGGAAAATAAAGGGAGAACGATGGGAGGTAGATAGAGGGAGAAGGGAGACTCAATTGAGTGAGAGAATGGCGAGGGATGGGGCTGGAAGCAAGGGCAAAGAGACGGGAGAGACAATGGTGACTGGAGAGGGAGGAGAAGAGGGAGGGCAATTTGGTCTGAAAAAGTTTCAATTCTATGATTAAATTTTCAATACCACCTCTCTCATGGGTTTGCCTAATCCCACCTATATGGGTTTCAACAATCTCAAGTAACAAGTAATTTTTTGTACCAAACATTATAAAAGTAGGTTCACTCAATCCCAACTCTACTCCCACCCTTCCAATATCACCTACCAAACAAGGCCTTAATATTGTGCTTGGCTCGTGGAGAAAAATAAAAAGGAGATAAAATGGGAGGAAAAAATGAAGAGAAGAGAAAAGTAAATATATATAATTTTCTTTCATTATACCTGGCTAAGTGAGAGAAAGTAGGAAGGTGAGAAAAATTATTAATTTTACATGGACAATAATGATCTTATTATTTGTAAAAATATTTATGTAATAAAATTAATATTTTAACATATTATATATAATAATAATAATAATTTTTATAATATATTATTGATCGAACAAAAAATATGATTTAAAATTATTTTATCTAATTTAAATTTGATTTATTAAATTATTAAATATATAATAATATTAAAATTTGGAAATATAACCAAATATATGATACTTAATTAAAAATTAACCTAAAAATTTAGAATTAATATGTCTAATTATTTCAAAAGTTCATTATCAAAATATAGCTGCACTACAAATGTCATGATAAAAATGAAGGAAAGCAAGAGGCAACAATAAAAAATTAATAAATAAATATAAAAATATTTTTTTTTTTCAAAATCTCTCCTTAGAAAAAAAAATTAAAAGTAAAAATACGCAACCCATATATTTGTGTTTCTAACTTTTCTCACTTGTTCACCATAATCAAGTAAGAGAATATGCACTTTTCCGTCCCCCTCTTCTTCTGCCTTGCTTTTCTCTCTTCTGAAGCATCGCGTAAATGTCATTTTTTCCCTACGTGATGCGTAAGCGGGACCACTGGCCTTCTAGGCTACTATCTACCGCCTCCCCTCCGCCTCCCCTTCCTCTTTTGTCTGTGTCGCGAGTCGCGACTCGAGAGTCCCCAGTCGTCTTCGGCTCTCCGCTTCGGCATCCCTCCCTCCTCCTTCGTGCTGCTCAAGACTATCCGGGGTCCCTCCCTCCTCCTCCTTGTTGGTTACTGCTGTAGCGGCGTCTTTGTGGCTAGTTGATCATTGCCGTCGTCTCTCACTCTCTCTTCGTAGTTGCTTCGTTCTTAGCCCGTTAGCCTTCGTCTCTCATGACTGTTCTTCAGCTAACATCTTCTGTTCAGGTTCTTCACTATTTGCTATTCTGATTTGCATTTTCCGCTCTCATTGATTGTAGTGTTTATTGGGATTTCTGGACCTTGAGAAAATGCTCAGATCGATTCTTGTGTTTAATGGGATTTCTGCATTTATTAATTCATTATTGCTATCCTGATTTTTATAGATATTGATTTATATTTGGGCTGTGTGAACGGAGTTGGGGGAGAGACTATTAGTATGAGTTTAACGGAATTCTGGGACCCTGAGAAAATGCTTCTTATTCTTCTGAGTTACTCCCTGATGTCCGAAACTGGATGCCATGATTGCTAACAAATATTTCAGATTTTTCTGTCTCTCTGGTTTGAGTTTTGAGCCATAATTTCTGCTCCCTGAATTTTGACCTTAAATTTGGGGTTTCATTGTGCAAGGGGATTTTTATTTCTTTGGGCAGGAGTGAAAGAAGGAACTCGCTGTATAACCTTTATTTAGATCTTCAAAATTTCCTTAGCATGTCCATGCACCCATTGCTTGTCATAATTCCGGTTGTGCTCTTGTTGAAGAAAATGAAGATGAGTGACCCTGTGGATTTCCATTTGCTCTTTCTGTATGCAAATGCTCGGGCCTGAGTGACAGTGTGCTAAGATTTTGGAGTTTCGAAGAGTGGATAGTTTGATATAATGTGCATAGCAGTGTTCATGTGGCAATCTCACCCAATGTATCCCTTCCTCCTCCTTCACAACAGGGATGAAATTTATACTCGGTCAGTTTTATTTCTTTCTTGGATAACTTTTGCATATTATTGAATCATGTAAAATTTATAATTGATGCTTCTTTTAAGCTAAATCCGGTTAGGGTTTGGTTTGTTTTTCTTGTTTTGAAAGGCCTACACAGCCCTTGGCATGGTGGCCAGGAGATAGAATCTTGGGTGGTAGGGATGAGCAAGCTGGTGGCACTTGGTTGGCTTCCACAAGGGATGGCAAATTGGCTTTTATCACCAATTTCAGGGAATGTGAGGAGCATCCAAATCCTAAAAGTAGGGGGGAACTACCACTTTGTTTCCTGGAGGTGATGTCCCTGCATGTCTTTGTTTATCTGCCTTCCTACAAGATTTATACTTCTGCCCGGCTCACTTCCTCAATCTATTGTCTATCTAGTAATGACTGGGGTTGGCAATTTCTTAATTTCGTATATCAGGCACATTTTCATTCATCATGATGCTCTGTTTAACCTACATTCTTATTTGAGTGCCTAAAGTTATGCCACTATCACAGATACCTGGAATTCAACTTGGAGTTTAACAAGTACTCTGCTTCTGTTATTAGTTTCTTTGTCATGAAAGACCAGTAAATGCATGTCAATTCTAATCACCATATGATCCTTTATGTGGTTACAGAGCAACAAGAGCCCTTGGGAGTTTGCTGAAGAGATTCTGAAAGAGGCAGATCAATATAATGGCTTTAATCTCATATTAGTTGATATTTGCAGCAGAACCATGGTTTATGTTAGCAATAGACCCAAAAAAGATAATCTTAGTGTTTGTATGGTCACGCCTGGTATTCATGTCTTGACTAATGCCAGTTTGGATGCTGCTTGGCCAAAGGTAAAGGTGCATATTGTTTCTGTTTATTTTCTTCATGTCTGTGACAAAATTTCATTGGCATCATTGCATTTGCATTTGTGTCTCTGCTGTTACTTACCCAACAAAATGAACAAACTTGATGGCTGCTAACGGCCAATTGGTAATGCAATTATGAATTAACACAATCAATTTGGCACTCAGCCTTCAGTTGTTGTCAGCCAAAACTACACCCATAAATAGATTTCTTTTGGAGCCAATGTAGCATCTCACCATGCAGCGAACTCATTTTGCAGTCTCATTTCAGGGTGAACGGTTGCGTCACAATTTCAAAGAACTCATTGACCAATACGGTGAAAGTGAATTTCCCATCAAAGAAATGGTTGAGAAACTAATGACAAACAAAATTAAAGATGAGGAAAGCTTGCTACCTGGGATTCATCCACCACATCGAGAGTATCCTTTGAGCTCTATTTTTGTTGAAGCAGATTTCCCATGGGTACCCAACAAACTCTGCTGATATATCTACGTCCTTACCTCTGCTTTTGCTTGTTTGAAGCTGAAAGTATGCTTTTGCCCAGGGGCGTTATGGCACTAGGAGCTCTTCTGCCTTCTTTGTGAAATCAAATGGAGAAGCCAGTTTCTACGAGAAATATCTAGACGATGTGGATGGGAAATGGAAAGAGAAAATGATGACATGTATGATTAATGGGGCATAATAAATGTGCTGCTAATCTTCATAAATGGCGTAGTGCTTGAAGTTCAATTGCAACAACCTTGCCTGAAACTTGGAAGTCTTTATGCTTCGGTTGACAAATCAAACTTTTATCCAATGGATATGATAATGCGTTTGCTCGTTGATAAATGGTGAGGATTCTGTTTTTACGTTGAATAGATTTGCGTCGACCGAGCAATTATAAGACGCACCAAATAAATCCCTATATTATAGATTTCGTTCTTGCAAAAGGCTTCTCTAGCTAGAAGAATTAAGAGTCCGTCTTGGTTATTTATTCGCAGCTCACAGGATCTCATCCCATCACCCATGCAATACATTGGGGGTGTTATTTTGTGTTTTAGTCACATTAAGCTTGTGAAATAAAAATTTCTTCATTACATAATGCCAAAGGGTTAAAGATGGCGGCAAAATTTAACAAAATTATGTAAGTTGCAAACAGGTTGTTGGGATGGACTATTGTGATTTCTTGCTGAATCGGCTTCTTATTGAATCTAATAAAATCGTGTATATTACTGATTCATTTGTAAATCGTAACCAAAAAGCATGAAGGAGCCTAATTTTAGCAAGAAAGAAAAATAAGAGCCTGGACTTGAAAACGTATGACGCCTAATTAGTTATTATATATTTTAATAATTAAGTGATGGTTTGGTGAAATTTATTAGCCAATGTATTATAATGAAACGGAATAAATTAATTTTGTAAAATTATTGCGAATTTATTGTTATTAATTTCCTTGCAACTAGAAGATTCTCCCCTTGCAAATTATTAAGAATAACAATGAAAACTTCACGAGTAACAAATTAAGAACATTAACATATTTATCAGAGGAAAATAGTATGTCACATACATTTCATAACTTACCAAAACATGTATTATTGAAATAATGACTGAACGAAATAAAGAGCACACCTCCTTGGAAGGATTTGGATCCCATGCGTGTTCCAACTACACGTATTGGGTGAGTGTCTCCACATGATAAAATCATATGCTCGCAATACAATTAATGATTTGTAAAGATTTTATGCAGTCAAATTCGGTATTAACTCAATCTCCCTCACCTCTTTTTTTTTTCTTTTTAGCCGATATATCTCTGATCTGTTTTCTTGCTATCACGTATTGACTGCGTCTTCCCCCTTTCCGGCCATATTTTCATAAGCTTCTTAAACAATCATCTTGTACAGCATCTACCTTGCTATGCTCTGTTTTCTTCTGCAGTCCATGGCCAAGTAGGAGTTTTCTTTCTAGCAACGTTGATGTGCTCTGTTTTTCACTCCAGTTGACGGCCATGAACATGGAGCTTTTTCCAAATAAATAATGAAAGTCCCCTCTTGGTTAATATTGTGGATGATGTGTGCTCTGTCCTGCATCTTCCATTTAGGCCAATGGGTCGCACCAACAAATTGAATTTAGCTTCAAGTTTGTCTGTGCATGTGAATCTCAATCAGTCTTACGTAGTTCCTACCAAGACTGAATTGAGAAATGAGCGTTGGTGACCTTTGATTAGTTTCGAAGACAAAGAGAGCAGTTGCTTGATCCGGAGTTGGTGGGTTTTGTCAAATCTGGAAACCCTCCAAAGTTTAGGACATTAACACTGAGGTAGAAGGAAGATGATGGGTGTTGTTAGATTTGGGATCTTCAAAGTCGTCGGTGTTTACGCCCTTTCATCTTGGCGCTGACTAAGGAAGGCAATGAGGCACAGCCAAAAAAAGGGGATTCGGATTCAGTGTTTCAAGCTTTTGTTCTAGTAAAGTTTTCTAAAGGAAGAATTTCAGTTAAGTATTGCACAAGAAACCTAATCATTTACCAGTTTCAAAAAATTTTAAAATTTTAATTCAGTTTAAAAAAAAGTTAAAATAATTTTAACAATAAAAAAAATAAAATATTATTATACAAAATCACTAGTTGTTAATTTTTTTATTTTACTTGTTAATTTATTAATTGACATCAGTTGTTTTATTATAAGTAGTAATATTAGTTGTTAAATTACTAACTTTATTTATTAATAATAATTTACAACTGATATTAATAAATTAATGAGTAAAGTTAACAAATTAAAAACTGATGTCACTAATTGTTTGATAAATGAATGTAATTTATAAATAATATTAATAAATCATAATAATAATTAGTGATTCTACATAACAAGTTAATAGTAAAATTATTTTGACTTTTTTCTCCTAATTTAAATAGAAATTTTAAGATTTTTTAGAATCACCAATAATTAAGCCTCTTTCGTGTCTTAGACTAAAATTCTTCCTCTTTTTTAAACCATTGACTGAATTAAGTGCATATATTTCACCACGTGAAAATACTCACCCAATGCGTGTAGTTGGGACACATGGGATCCAAGTTCCTCCTAGGCGTAGGATGGATGGGACTTGCAAGGAGCGAAAGTATGCTTTAGAGAAAGGTAATAAAATTCAATATTAACGATTGAAAACACAATCAACAATATAATGAAGGAAGATTTACCTATCGTGAATTTTGGAGAATATCTTTGTAGACTACATTTTCTGTAGTAATTTTGGGATTCTTTTCACGTTCATAAATCAAATTTAATGGCATCCATACCTCTAATTTTTTGAAAGAGCACCATAAAATTGTTAACGAGTGACTTATCATAGATATAATCCTACATTAAATAGTGATGACATTGCCTTTTATTAATGATCATTGGGAAGGAGAGAATATTATTGATAACAATTAGTACAAATACTGAGCAACTGACAAGGAGGTATACTTAACTAGCATCAGTCTCAGTCTGATTAAACTATATATCGTCAATGACGGAGACATCCTACAAGTCAATACTCAATGGAGATGGAGAGAGAGAAAAGTGAAAAGCCTAGGCTTCGTTTCCATAGAGTCGATTCGAGGGACGCAAGTAAACAACAAGAGAAAGCATCTTGTGCAGGCGCAAACATTGAACTTAACAAAACAGATTGGGTGGCCAATCCATAACCTCAAGTCATACTTTCAATTCAATATTTTAATTTGAAATAAATAAATGCGGTGGGATCTACTGAAGATGGATTAATGCATAGTATTTAGGCCGTGAAAAAGTCTTCCAATCCTATCTGATCCAATTTAACTCGAGATGATTTCAGTCTTGTTCGGTCTGTATAGTCATTGATCCTTTAAAATTAAGAAAAAACTAAAAAGATCAGACTATTTTTTCGAGTTGAACTGGACAAGAGACCAAGATCCGAACCACTTGATTCAGTCCAGTCCTATTAATTTTTTTATTATAATTATAATTAATTTATTTTTGACAAACGTTTGAAGTGTAATGATGCTAAGAAAATAATTGTATGAAGATTTGTTAAGTTTGTTTTTAAATTATTGTTGTAATATAATGTTGTTGAATTTTATTGAGTACTGTTTTTATTAAAGTTATAAATTTAAATCATTTAGACTATAATAAAAATATTTTTTTTATTATTAAAAATTATTATAAATTTATTATGATTATAAGTGTGATGGCTAGGCTCGTGCATTGCTTTGATTGGGAGCTTCCAGATATGACGGACGAGTTTGGCCTCATTATGCCGAGAGCCAACCATCTACTTGCCATTCCTACCAAATATCGTCTCCAACGTTATTTGTGAGACGTAAATTGGATCGCCTCGATCGCGAATCCCTCTATATATGGATGCCCTTATATTAAGGTTGTACAAAAGACAAGACGACATTAAACTTTACTCTAACTCGAAGTCTGATCTCTTTCATAAAAAGGATTGAGTTAGGCAACCTGTAGTTTACCCTTGTCTAGTGATAACTAGAAGATTAACAAGAACGGATTTGATCCATAGGATTGGGAGACTGGTCTTGTCAGTTCAGTATTCACTTAGCTTTTTTTTTTTGTCTTTTTATTCTATGAGAGGCAATAACCCATTCCAACATAATAAACTCAATTAAAATAGTAAAAACACTTATAATAATAATAAATCCATAATAATTTCCAACAATAAGAAAAAATATTTTTGTTATAGTACAAATGATTTAAATTTATAACTTTAACAAAAACAGTACCCAACAAAATTCAACAACACTATTTACAACAATAATTTAGAAATAAACTTAACAAATCTTTATACAATCATCTCCTTAGCATCAATTACACCTCAAACGTTTGTCAAAAATAAATTAATTATAATTATAATAAAAAAATTAATAGGACTGGACTAGATCAAGTAGTCCGGATGCCTAGTCACTTGTCCAGTCCAACCCGAAAAAATAGTCTGATCTTTTTAGTTTTTTTGGTTTTGAAGGACCAATGACTATACAGACTGAACAAGATTGAGATCATCTCAAATTAGATTGGATCAGACAGGATTGAATTTCAGTGCCCTACCCGGGAAATCCCAATGTTGTTATTCATGGTCGTACTGGTTTTATGTGTTCAGGTTAGTATGTTTTATGTACGTGCTGGATAATGGACATTTCATGGACTTCATGTTCGTGACTTTGTCCTCTTCGTAAGTATAAATTTATATCTATTTTCTTGGTTATTTGGTGCAAGTCAAATAAAATTAATAAGAATCAAGAATATTGAGAATCTCATATTTGTCCCATATCTTCTTTTTTCTCATTATTCTTCCTCTGCGTATCGTTCGTCATGATAAATGACTCAGTACCAGCTCTCAAAGTCCGCGTCATTAAAAAAAAAAACGTACGGAACCATGTGTGCACGCCAAAGGAAAAAATGTGCCTCTTTTGTTCACGAGTCATGGTGTTATATATATATATATATATATATATATTACAAGCATAATGATGTGGGTTACGAATAACAGGATTAATTACACTGATAAAGCATGGAATATGCTCCCATTTACTTCTGGACATTCCAATTTCTTGTCTTAATGACAATGATATTTTGAAAAACCAGCTATTATAAAAAAAACAGTCTCTTTCAAATGAAGTACGAACATCAGATGGCCAGCTAGTCCAAGTTTGAAAGGAGTGATCCCAAGTTATATATTATATTTATTAAAATAAAAATGTATAAAAATTATAAAATAATTTTAATAAATTTTTTATTTTTAATATGATATATATTTAATTTGAAGGATTCAATTTAATATAATTTTTTTTATAATTGATATATTTAAATATACTCTGTTCAATCTAGATTAACACAAATTAAATCTGAATTGTGATGAGCATTGGCATAATCTTGAAGAAGATGATTAGGCAATCCAGGGACTGCCAACCCAATAATCCTAAAAATTCTCAGAAGCCATCCTTCTCTGTAGTTCGGTCCATATTTGAAGCCAATAATGAAGCTCCTCATAATCTCCCATGCCGCATTTATCATCATTGACATCATCGCCCACGGCAAGAAGTAGTTCTTATTCAGCTCCTCTTCCACCATCTGCGTGCAATTCAAACAAAGAAAAAATAATCAATAATAATTTCTGACTCTTCAATTTCTGGTGATCGAAATCGATATAGTACTTAAATAGGGCGGTGTTTGAGTTTTTCTTCCACGTAGTCAGCATATTCATGATCTCCAACTCGAGGTTGCTCAAACGTGTAAACTCCTTCAAGTCTATCCAACAACAAGGTTTCATCGTGCAGCGACAATATTGCAGGAAACAGAATAGCGAGAGCTCTGCCCAAGCTATGGCCGGTCACTACGAACTTGGCTTCATTATTCGAATTCACATGCTGCTTTAGAAAATCCGTAATGGCGTAGTAGGCTTCTGGAGGGTGGCTCTCGTCTCTCTGAATTTTCTTAGGCCAACCCACGACGCTTTTCGGGAGGTCTAAGGCTTTCATGAAGCCTGCATGGATCTTTCCAACACCAGGAAGGTGGCACCGGATAAGTCAATGTCGGTGTCCCATCCATCCGCATCGAAGCGTTCGGTTTCTCTGAAGGCCACTACGTATGTGTGCTGTTCCTCGCTTTTATCTAACATGATGAAACCCTGAGTCGTGGCTTTTCCTGGATAATCTGTTGATTAAATATTAATGTAAGTCAATTAAGTGGAACTTGATCGTGTCATATGCAAAGAGAGGGCAACGTGTAATTCAATATCTCTTGCGTACCATTCCAGAAGTCACCACATTTTACGAGTTCCATCCAACGCATACAAGAAATTCCAAACCGAGATTAACGATACATTAAGTTAAAGCTAGCGAAACAAAGAAAAGAAGAAGGAGAAGGAGAAGGAGAAGGAGAAGCTAGTTGTAGCTAGTAAAATTGGTTGGCAAGTGGAGTATACCTTCCAGTGATTTTTGACAACAGTTTGAAGGTAACGTTCTCCACCTCGTGGGATGCTTTAGAAGCCATGACAAGAGAGAGGGGTCTCTCCACTTCCTTTCTCTCTTTCTCTACATTTTCTAATTATGGCCATTCATCAAATTTATAATTTATATAACATGACAGAGAGTGCAGCATTGTACCTACCATCGCCACGTTTGATACAACCATCTAATTCTACGCGCTTGTCGACATGCCCTGTCACTGACAAATATCCCGCGGAGCTTGGATCCGGCATCGCATCCTTGCCTGTTTCATTTCGCACAGTTACATATATGGACTGAATCGCTCTGTATGGATATAGAATAATATTCCAATTACCCAGTTTACGATTATCAATAACTACCCCGTACTGTGGATCTTAAAGCATCATGACTTCGGCAGAGACATGCAGTATCAAAATTAAAGGAAGAAACTGATTGAATATATACCTTGGAGATAGTTAGATAGGAGAGTGAAAACACCGTGGTTGAAAGAAACCAGGTTCAACCATCGCTCAAGGGAAGAACCAAAAGACTTAACTGGGTGTACCAAAAGTTGAAGTAATTGGTGGGCCACGACAGACACAAAAATAAGCCATAAAGTCCACGAAAATGGCCTCACAGCACTCCATAAAGTTTCTTCTGTGTAGGTCTGAGCAAAATAAGAACGGGAGGATCTCAGGGAAACCCAACTGGTCAGGCTTCAGTGACATATAACTGCAGGCGAAGTACTTGTGACGATCACCTCTGCTAGACATGGCTGAGAAACCAGATCAAGATAATGGGAACAAGAAGAATGAATGAAAGAGAATTCAGGGTTAACGGCTAGTGGCTAGAATATGATATCTACTAGACTCCAGTCTTAACTAGAGGCTTAGCTAGAGGCGGTAGTTGGGACAGCTCGATGAGTTAACCCTCAACCTGAATAAATTTAAAAAATTTTAGAATCCAGCTTAAAAATTTAAAATTTTTTTTTATTTTAAATTTATTCGAGACACCTAAAAAAATTTGTGCAAGTTCAAACTTAAATGGGCTTAATCCGAATATTCAAATTTTCTTTTTATTATTAATAAAATAATATAAAAATAAGATAAAAATTAAAATTAGTTAAAAATAAAAAATAAAATAAAATAATATTTAAGAATTCGGGTATTCAAGTTAATCTGAATAAGTCCAAAAACTCAAAGGTTAGGCCAAGCTAGGATATATGAAACTTTCTATATGTTGAAGTGTTTTAAGAACGGTTTAAATAAATCCGACCCACCTGAATTATCAACTTTAATCTTAACCCTCTACGTAAACCTTTGGGTAAAGATGGTCATGTATATTTTAGATGTAGATTGAATGAGCAGTTTGGCTACCAAATTTTCTTTGACTTCAGACTGCTTTATTTTAGATACAGTAGCAGTTTCTTATTTTTGAAGGCTTTCCTATTAGAATACTTCTTTTATTTTATCTGCGAAGTTAATCAAGAATCTATTAGCCCCATCATTAATTTCTAGAGAATGATTCTGGTAATTCCAAAATTAAAGTTTAATTATACCTTTGAGAAGAATATATATATTTATATTTTTCAGATTTAATGATAATGATTTATCACACAGATTTTGACTTGCAAGTTTGGATCACAAAAAAATAAGTTTTTCATCAATATATATATATATATATATATGAATCACTGAAATATGCAATAAAAAGAACATATATTATTCAATATTACGTAAGGGGTATTTGGAGATTGCATGATGAATTTTTTTCAGAATACATTTATATGTGATCGCGCGCGCATGAAGGATATATTGCCGCTACAACCAATAAATATTTCATTGCAGGATTCTGACTACGGATGAATCAGGAAATAAAATCTGCGTGCATAAAATTAAAGTTAAAAACTTTGGAACCAGCTACATAGTCTTTGGCGCCCCCCCCAAAAAAAAAAAAAGCTACATAGTCAAATGGGACCCGTTAAAGTAGTTCTAAGTTCTAACCCCCTTGCGCGCGGAAGGGCATGGCAGCTGCAGCTAAAAAATCTTTAATGTAAGAGCATGGAAATGATATCACATAATAATATTATAAAACAAGTAAATATTACGTGAGAGTGCAAAAAGAGTAGACACTTCAATTTTGGATATGTCAACTAGGTTTTCAAAAGTTATATTAAGCTCCAGTTAATTCAAATCATCAAGTTCGGTGGGATTATATACTGACGCAAAGTTCTCTTCAAAAGAATTTTCTCCAGATATTATACTTGAAACTTCATTTAAAGAAATCAAGGAGTGAACCACTTGAATAAAGAATAAACACTTTAAACAACTAAAGCATTTGATTTAGGAAAAGGGAACTAGGCAGAAAACAACTAGGTTCTGAGAAGGGAGGGGGTATTATAAGATAGAGTATGCAAAGAGTCATGTTTTCAAATCAAACTCAAAGCACTGTCAATTAATCAATTGATCGATCGTCACTTTACAAGGAGAATGTAACAGCAAGAGGGGAGAAGAAAAGAATGTGATGATTATCCAAAATCAGATGGCTATAAACCAATTAAGGATAAGACGGATGAAATCAGAAAACAACAATGGGTCGAGGAACCAGAAAAAAATACTAATTCCCAGATGCATGTACAAAAAATTTCAAGCCGATACAGAACAAAGATCGTCAAATACTTGTCTGATATTAGGCCTCTCATTTACAGGGAGGATACACCTGAGAGATATTGCAAGCAATTCGTCCATCTCTCTGGAAGATTCTTCACCGCCTGCAATGTCTCTGTCAATACAGTCCATTACCCGTCCTTCTTGCTCACATAGTCTAACCCAATCTGTTAGATCAACAGCCCCAGCTTGCCCTGATATTATGTCGCCTGCACTTTTTCTCGTTAATAATTCCATCAAGATCACACCAAGTGCATACACGTCTGCCTTAAAAGACACGACTGGTTTACTAGCAGAGGCAAGTTCTGGAGCACGATATCCGAGTGCTCCGAGATTTAGTATCTGCTCTGAAATTCCGGCCAGCGTCATGAGGCGGTGCAGACCATAGTCAGTTAGACGTGCACTGTATTCAGGGCCTGCTAATAATATGTTTGTTGGTTTTAGATTTCCATGGGGAAGCCCCCGATCATGAAGGTATAGAAGACATTGAGCAACTTCAACAGCAACTCTTAATCTCTGGCTGAATGATAATGGTGAGTACCGCCGGGGTGTTGTCTCTGCAAAATTCATATTGATATTTACCCAAATATTTAAACCACAAAAAAAAGTGCATACATCCAAACACTCCTGCATGCACAATTTAAGGGTTCATTAAAAAACTTTCAGGGATTTATTATCTAGTGTATGGAAACAATTGCAATAGTGACTCTGGCTTGAGCATTTTTCAGATATTCCCCTTCCAAAGAGAATAAGGATTGAAAAAAAGACAGAGAGAAATGTGCCTTGACAAAAATGGAATTAGTAAATCGCAGACTGATTAAAGGATAGATTTTCTCAAAACATGAATCTAATCACACATAATGATATAATCTTCTGCCAAGATATTACCAGGGATCCTTTCATTACTTGGGTGATAAATCAAGAATTCATTGGGTGGTCATATGTGAAATTCTATCGGGTTGACCTCATTATATCAATATGTAATATCAAATTTATAGAAAGTGATACCATTTATAGTCATGAAAAGTGCAGCTTACCTCAAACTCCATATAAAAATGGAACCCAAAGTCTGATAAATGATTTATAACTAGGTGTGCTCATATACAAGTACAACGAAATGAAGCCCTTTCTAACATTTTCTTCAACTTTTGAACATGTCAGTATTACATTCTCATTTTTCTTCTTTGTTGAGCATTCAGAAGATTTTCGGGACACCAAAAGGGAAAAACCATCAACAGAAAAGTGCAGTACAGCGTAGATAGCTATACACGGCAGTGTAGACATTTCAAATAAAACAGTATTGAGAGGGAATTTAACAATTACCATAAAGATGTAAGGCCAAGCTGTCACCAGATATATAGTCAGCTAAAAGAAGCCTCTCTTGTTCCCTAGGCCCCCAATAGTATGCCCGCAACGGGGCAATGTTAGGATGCCTCATAGAACCAATCCTCTTAACTTCTCTAGCAAATTCCTTCTTGTGTTTGACCAATCCAACACGTAACCACTTTACAGTCAACATATGACCACTGTCTAGAGTAGCTTTGTATAAAGTACCATGGTTACTTCTGCCAAGAACTTCGGCTGGGGCTCGAGATAATTCCTCTGCAGTGAATGCCAGGGAAGAATCAAGAAAGTACAACTCTCCGGCCAGTCGATCTGGTGAATACACGTCCAACACAACTGATTTTTCATGTGCTTCTATAAAACGGGGAGAGGAAGATAATGGGGAACCAGGAGATGACTTCCTTCCAGATGATGTGGGAGGGTTATCCACCAAATCTGGATTTACAGAAGCTGAACCAGCCGCTCCCATTCCCTGAGCTAAGCCATGCTCAGTAATTTCAGATACAAACTCTGACTGCCCAGAGAGTGATCTTGAATTGG